CTGATGAGCGGTAAAAGCTTTTAAAGTGTCGCCTGTGGCCAATTTTGGGTATTATCGTTTTTTGAGGTTTTGCGCGCGCATGCACTTTTAAGGCTTGACATGTTTGGTGTCTTTTTACCCGACGTGACCCCGTCTTTTATATTTTACCAAAAAATTGGGTAATAATAAATGTTTTATCATTTAATATAGAGGAAACAGTTTTATTTTTAAATTTCGGTAATTTTTCCTTAATATAGTACAAAATAAAAAACCCAGTGGTGAATAAATACCACCAAAAGAAAGCTCTATCTGTCCCCAAAAAATGATATAAAATTCATTTCAGTACAGCGTTGCATGACGGAATAAATGTCAGTCAAAGTACCGCAGTGCTGAATACTGAAAAATGGCCTGGATGGGAAGGGGGTTTAACAGCGCGGATGTCAACTGGTTAAAATGACAAAAGGTGCAGCTTTTGTAAAATAACCTTTAACTGCTGCCTTTCACTGATATCCAAACCCTCCAATGATCAATTCGTCAAATTCCAGCCCACTTTCCATACCTAACATCAATAACAAGATTCTAGCAAAAATTCAGACAATACGTCTCAGTTCAGGCATATCTTGTCTTATCAGAAACAATTACCTAGGCTTCGTCCCAGGGTGCCTCTGCAGTAGAGACATATATATAACTTATGGATTGGTACCATGCTCCAGTCCAGATCTCTAGTTCATTACTTAGCCTTTCCCTCAATTGTTTGTAAGGCTGCAATATAGCAGGAACATTTAAACACATATGATGGCACTGCCCTAATAGTAAAATATTTTAGACCCATACAAACTAAATGCATTTTACCATACTGGGCTGTCTAATCGGAAAAAAATGTCCTTTAAGGTCCTTCTAAACAAGAAACCACAAAGCTATACAACTAATACTGATCGGTTATACATATTTTTACTGCAACCAAACAAGTTATTGCAAAGGCTTGAACATCACTTACAATTTCTTTCAAATCCCTGAAATTCAAAATAAACCCTGTATGAACTATGATAAATTATTTGCTATATTAAATAACAAAATCCTGAAATGTAAAAAAAACATGGGCTTCCCGATTCACAGACTATCTGCCAACGAACATTGATTCCCTCTCCTAACACTTTGAATGGCTCATAGAAATTCAGATCTGATCCACCTTCCCCCCACTTTTTTCCCTTTTGTTTTTATTCCCTTTTTCTTATCACACTTTTTCCTTTTCTACTACTTCCTCCTCTTCTCATCTGTCCTACCCCGCCTTCCCTTATCCATTACTCCCCCCCCATACCCAGCCCTCCTTCAAACCACTACTAGGTTATGTCTTCACCTAAGCACAACCCCTTTTCTAACATAACCTTATGACTGCCCACATTTTCTATTTAACTGTATAAACCTGATTATATTAGAATGTGGTAAAACATACAGTATGTTCACCTAAATCCCTTTCACCATCTCCCTTTTGACGTATAACAAGTATAAACTCTAGATATAAAAAAAATTAGAACTTGATCTTTCTATTTGTCAATGGTTTTTAAAGTGCATGTCAAGTAACAAACTTGTTTTATAGTTTTCGATAAAGGAATAAAACTCTTGTAAGGTTTTTACTGTTATCTGGGGCTCTGGCGTTAGAGAAATGTACTTTCACTTCCTGACTTGGTTAGAACTGTTTTGCCAGAGAGGAAGTGGGAGGAAATTTGCAATAAGGACATAGAGAGAAATTAAAATCTGACAGAGGTGGTAGAATTTTCTTATTCTACTATACAAAAGCATTTTTATTTCTGTCTGTGTCTTTGTTGCAGAGTTCTCCTCACCAAAAAAAGTAACAACAGGACAAAAAAGTAAAGGTAAATCTCTTTAGTCATACACTTTATTGTCTTTTTGTACATTGTGGTATTTTGTGGCAATCCCATTGTGAAATTTGGTGTTATGATCACCCAGGACTGAATGGTGTCAGGTAACAAGGTTTTTTTTTTTCAGGGAAGAGCTGGCTTTTCAGTTCTTTCCAGATTTTCTGGCTTCTGCTTGGGATCCTGGCATCGGGAGATTTCAAAGTGAGTCAGAAGGGAAGAAAGCTGCAGTCCTGGGGCCAGGAGTGACCAGCACCCAAAGATTGCACAGGTGTGCACAACCCTTAACCCCTTAAGGACAAGGCCTTTTTTTCATGTTTTGTTTACATGTTATAATTTACATTTTAGGCCTGAAAATGACTTAAAACCCCCAAATATTATATATTTTCTGAAAGCCAAGACCCTATAGAATAAAATTGTGGCAGTTTTTTATTATTTTATTTTTATGTTGCACGACTGTAGCGCAACTTATTATCAAACCCAAACATTTTGTCAAAAATGCACTTAAGTTAAATTTAGTGCCCCAAAACACTATATAAAACCCTTTTTTGTAAAATATAAAAGATGAGGTTAAAATGAGTAAGTAGATACCCAAACATGCCCAGGTTAAAAATTGTGTGTGTCCGTGAAACTGTGATAGAATTCAGTACCCCAAAAAGTCTATAGACGACTGGAGCAACAGTCACCATATTTATTCCCACAGAATTTTTGTACAAGTCATCCTGAATTGAGAAAGCTGGTGGGATGACCAGTGAAACATCTTCAGGAAAAATACAGCAAGTCCAGTTGCCTTGACTTATTTTTTGCAGATATACCATGACCTGGATGAATGAGAACCTTCACAGACATTTATAGACGACGCTTTAAAAGCCCATACAGATCATCATTTTAGAGATACATGTACATATTGGCCCTAGAATTATTGCTCTCACTCTGGCGTGTGCAGCGATACCCAACATGTGTAGCACAATCGTCGTTTTCATACGTAGGCGTACATGGCGCGTGCTTACGTTAAGACGCGCGTGATCGTGGGAGCCTTTGTAAAATGTTTTACAATCATTTTTACATTTTATTTATTTAATATTATTTTTAAAACTTTTTTTAACTTTACTTTAATTGCTATCACATACAAGCCCTCCATGTGATTGCATATTGGTGGTGACAGGTCCTCTTTATGGTTATACTGGGGGTCCAAAAGACCCCTAGTATCGCCTTTACACTCTAAATAAACTAGTGAAGTACAGATCATACTTCAATAGCTTATTGCTGGGCTTCCGGAGCCCAGCAATGACAGCTCAGGGACCAGACGTGATGCAATACTACGTGTCGCTCCCGGGGGCCATAAAACGGAGACGTTCACCGCTCTCCTCCCCAGCTTTCACTGACACCTGAGATGCCGATCTCGGGCCCATAGGAGGGGCAGCAGAGCCTGAGAAACGCGGCGGGGTGTCGGTCAGGGGGGGGGGGGTTGTTTACTGGATCATAGAAGCGATCTGGCGGCAGGTGAGCCGCCAGAATCGCTTTTACTGTAAAGCCGGCCGCCAGCTCTACAAATCTGAACAGAGTCCCGGCGACAGTTCTTACCAGCACAGTCCAATCCGGACAGAAAAAATACTGCATGTCACATTTTCTCTGGTCCGCAACGCGTCAAAAACGCACTGAAAACGCACCGCACTGCAGTTAACAGCTGACAGCCCCACTCCACAAAAAAAGGAACTGGAACGCGTCCGGAACGCAGTAAAAACGCACTGCACGCATAGCACTGCGTCTGCAGATCTGCACCAGAAAATGGTGTGAACAAGCCCTTAGGCTGGCTATAGAGAGACAGATGTCTCACTGAGAATAAAGGGCAAAAGGACAACAGCTTATCTTTGAAGTACTTTTCTGGCATTTAGGCCCCTTTCACACAGATTGCACCCATTCCGATCAGCAGGGGATCCGTGCACAGATCCCCTGTTGATCAGATTACTACAGAACGGATGTCAATGATGTCACACTTTTGTGACATCAGTGCCCCTTTCGTTTTTTCCCCCATCTTGATATAGAAGAAAAAAACTTAACTAACCGGGCCAATTAGGTCTATGGGCAGTTGGATGTAAGCAGATCATTTACATCTTATTACCCTTGATCTGTCACAATCAGGTCTGCCAAAATGAAACGCCATTCAACATTTTTTTTTTCTGGACCTAGACAGGGTCAGGGGTAATTGGATGTAACATCTGGATGTAACATCCGTTAACATGTGGCTACCCATAGAGTTACACTGGGATTCCAATCAGATCTGCATGAAAACTGACAGGCAGATCTGAACAGACTGTCCATGTGACCTTACTGTACATCTGTAGTGGTATTTGTGTGATAACAATGATAGTGAAGAAGTGCTCTTTACTACACCTTTACAAGGTTGATTGCTGCAAGTGACGCTGTTATTGGTGGCCAGGTTGTGTATAACAAGCCTTAAAGAGACACTGTCACCTTGCTTATGCAGGACAAAGTCCCTGCAAAGGGCCCCCCGACCCCTCATACTTACTTTGACTGCATCCTCCATGTTCCTTCCTCCATTAAAGCCAGTGATTCTACCCAGTGCTCCTAGGTGAGCATGTGACCTACTCCCCCGTGACAGTGCTTTGGCCTAGTAGCCAATCTAGTGATCCAGGTACGGTCACATAACCCAGAGAGTGACATTACCAATCCCCTGGTTCGCCGACACTGCTAATATTAGCACCGGCTGGGATGGGTGAAAGAGAGGGAGCACAGGCAAATTGATATTTTGCACATATAGTGTAATTTTATCATAAATGGGCAATGTGCCCCTGTCTCTGCCTCCATGACCCATTGTGATATCCTACAACTCAAACAAAGGAAGATAGCAGCACATGTGCATTGATGTTACTGTTTCCTCTTCTACATAAAACATTCAAAAATCTCTGTGCATGATAATAAGCAATCTATCAGAAGAGCTCATATCATCATCAAAAGAACCCTCACATGGCCCAGTTGCCAACTATTATTTAATTGTTTCACATCAAATAAACAGTTGTGTAGGTGCTCTTTAGACAAATAAAAGCCAAGACTCTAGCAAACAAGGTGTTTCCAAACAGGAAACTTTGTCTACAGAAAATGTAATATATATTTGCTTCTTACCTGGGAGTGCAAATATAATTTTCCTAACGCCATCAATATCCAAGGTTGCAAAGGTGGTTGGCAGGCTGTAAGACAAAATGTGATTTCTTAAAAACAAAATCTGACTTTTCTTTATTCTTATACTAAATTGAGTCAGAATGTGAATAAAGAGAACTGAATACATTTGGGTAAAATATGACCACAGAGTATATAAAGGCTGGTTTATAAAAAACTTGACTCTTTTTGAAACTCTAGCTAAGTGTCATCTTCAGGAAGATTTCCCCTTTACCTCCCAATCTAATGACAGTGGTAAAAAAGACAGGAAGTGAAAGGAGATCTCGCTGACTTGACAAAGGATCCAACCCTTACCTGCTCTATCTAAAAGTAAATCAATAAAAACAATTTGGCTTTTATATAATGCATTTAAAAAAATATATATGTTTCTGCCGGTCATATACTTGCAATACATTTTTCAAGTATTTATTCATAGAATGAATTTAATGTAAAAGGGAAAATATGAACCTAAAAGTAAGCACCTACTTTTCCATGGAGCTCCCTGCCATAAAGTGTACTTAACTGAATGTTTAAAAAAAATAGATATGCTCGAGGCACATGCGAGCAGCCCGGCATGATGGCCGATTGAGTCCCGAGCTCTGTACCTCGGCGGCTTCGATATACCCACCTCTGAAGCTATAGCGACCCTGGCGACCCTGCAAACGGAGGAGAGTCTCTCATACAGACCTGGACTTACTCGTAATGGCTGGTGGAGCTTGTAAACAAGCCCACGCTAACTCTACACCGGGATCTAAACCTCCTAAACGCAATTCCAAGATGGTGGCAGTTTCCCCGCCACACAACCATACACCTCCGCCCGCAGCCTTGCAGGATACAGGGACCCTCCTAAGACCCCTCTACAAGCTTCAGTGAATATGAGGGCCCCTGCACATAGATCCCCAGCATTCACATCCTCTTTCATTGAAAAAACACTGGAAGACATGCTTCTGTCCCAGCCCGCATTCTCACTATCCAGTCCTGATATCCAAGATGGTGTGCACAGTTTAGACTATGCGGACTTGCTGGATTGCCCTGATATCCTCACTAAGATATCTGATATGCTGGATCAGGGCCTCAATAAAGTGGCCAAACAAATCACTGCACATATCAGATCTGACCATAAGGATTTGGGCACAAGCATAGAGGCCTTGGAATCGAAACTGGATAAAACAATCTCACATGAATCAATGAGATATCCAGCTGTTCATAGGCCTCTCATCCAGATGAATGGGTAGAAGGAGTCTTCTGTTTACCAGACTGACGCAGCAGAGGTGACAAGTGGCGGGAAGAAGGGTGATCATCAATCACCAACATTGAGAAGCAGGGGATGGAGAATCTCTAAAAATCAGTCCCAGCTGGAGCAATAAGCCTTCACCATCAGGGAGGTTGGTAATAGAATAAGATTTTTTTTTAAAGTGAACAGTAAACGGAAAGGAAAGGCTCATCTATACTTAATCCCCTGCTGGACAAAGCCTGTAATAGAGGTTTCAAGGTTTCGTTTGAATAGTTGCAGGCAAGATGTCCGCAAAAATATGTATAGGGTATCCTAACAAGGGCATAGCAGGCTGCTCTCTAGTCTTTTGCATAACTGGTTCCTTGACACGGAAAAAATGAGGCTTGATAATGATGTCTCTTGAAGAGTCTTCAAAAGCAGGTCATAGTCAGAGCCCGATAAACTCGATCCAGCTCCAGCCTGTGGTCAAGTGTATCAGGGAGCAGTTCTTTGACCGATTTAACTGCTGTGTCCAGTATCAGGTCAGTAACAGATTCAGGAAACCCTCTAATTCGAAAATTCTATCTCCGAGATTGATTCTCCAAATCATCAATTTTGGAAGTCTAAAATAATTGTTTGATCTTTTAGTTTAGGGCTGCAGCTAACGATTATTTTCAGAATTGATTAGTTAGCCGATTAATCGGATAGAAATAGTAAAAAATAAAAAATTGACTACCGCAACGGAATTCTAGTTTGCATTGAGATTGTAGTCTATCACAGGAGCAAGCTTTGAGCGGTGACCACTTTACAACACATGTAAGTAGATGGAGAGACCCTCCGCACTCCTCACAGCAGTCCCGGCCAGATATGCAAAAAGTGGTGCTCGCAGTGATGAGATACCACGGTTGGCGCCGTGCTAAAACAGGAAAGTCAGGAAATCAACAGCACTCAGTAGTAAAGATAAATATGTCCCTTTTATTGGACAGAAAGCATCACAGACATCCAAATAAACCAACGTTTCAGGGCCACGCAGGGTCCCTTCCTCAAGACAGAAAGATGTGACAATATGGTAACAATCAAACACCACATATATACCCCATGTAGTTAATTAATGATTGAAAAACACACCCTCAGTGATGTCATAGGGGCGGCAAATAAGCCATATTTAAAGGTCAAAAGAGTAAAAAACAGACTACAAATTAAATAAATTAATAGAAAATCATACCAGCAATCAGGGGATCCAGATCGATGCTGTGGCTGCATAGTGGTCAACATGATCGCAACCTAGGTACAAACTCATAAAACGATAGCCGCAAGATCATAAAGACATGCCGATTTTAATCACTATAAAGCGCCGGCGCAGAAGCTATCCGTCATAGGTTGCTAAGGAAACAAAAGGACACAATTCTCGAGTGTCTCACGGCGCAAGCGCCAGGACTGCACGTCACAGATGGTGTGTCAGAAACGAAAGCTTCCTGGATTGTTATGGAGACAGGGAGATCAGTCTCTCAGTCGATGAGTGCGCATGCACCGGGACTGAATATAAATGCTTTATTTCAAAGGACAGCGGCAAACGGCCAATACAGCCAATATGTAGGCACAACAATTGGCACTCCCAGATCAAAGAAAAGCAACATTACCAGGAAGATGAGAGAAACAGCTCTCGAGTGTCTCACGGCGCAGGCGCCAGGATTGTACACAGCGAGTGTTGTGTCAGGAGCAAAAGCTTCATGAATTGCTATGGAGACAAGGAGGTCGGTCTCTCAGCAATAAAGGATGCATGCGCCGGGGCTAAGCATAGATACTGTCATTCAAACGATAGTGAAAGACGACCAATATAGCCAGTATGCAGGCACAGCAATCGGTATTCCTGGATAAAAAAAAAAAAAGAAGAAAAAGGATAAATGAAAAACGCACAAGACAAGGCTGCACACCATAAAATTACAAATATAACACATATAGAGTCAAAAACAGGAAAAAGGAAGGAGGATAAAAGGACCGAGGGAATTTTATGACTATCCCAACTATATATATATAAGAATAAATATTATGTAGTATAAAGGTACACAATTGCTTTAATATAATGTCAATAGATAAAAAATGGGGCTATTCCTATCAGTGTGCATACACTCCAAACATGAAAAAACATAGAAGATATATATAGAGATTGATGCTTATAATAAGGTTAGTCTATCAGATAACAGGATAATGATAGAGTGGTATTAAGTCCCCTTGACTCACTTTACAACACACACACAGGGACCATGGGGAACAAAAGTAGCCCCCCTCCAGAAGGAAGTACAGTATCATCACTAATTCAGAGACGTTTCAGGATCTACAGCCGAGTGATACACCAATAAGATACATTTTTTTATTGGTTAAAGTACCTGAATGCATTTTTAGGATTTAACTCCCGAGTTTAGTGTCACTTTTATGAACAAACTGGCACACACACAGATGCACACGAGGACTTCTGGCACACACACAGATGCACACTAGGACTGCTGGCACAAACACAGATGCACACTAGGACTGCTGGCACAAACACAGATGCACACTAGGACTGCTGGGCCAAACCACAACGCCAACCAGACAAGACACACACAATATATATATGCAATAGTCCGAAACACAGTTCAAGTAACCATGAATGGAGAATCTTTTCCCTGTGTATGGATGGCAAAATGAATCACCTGTAATGAGTGAGTTACACTCACTTTACAACACACACACAGGGACCATGGGGAACAAAAGTAGCCCCCCTCCAGAAGGAAGTACAGTATCATCACTAATTCAGAGACGTTTCAGGATCTACAGCCGAGTGATACACCAATAAGATACATTTTTTTATTGGTTAAAGTACCTGAATGCATTTTTAGGATTTAACTCCCGAGTTTAGTGTCACTTTTATGAACAAACTGGCACACACACAGATGCACACGAGGACTTCTGGCACACACACAGATGCACACTAGGACTGCTGGCACAAACACAGATGCACACTAGGACTGCTGGCACAAACACAGATGCACACTAGGACTGCTGGCACAAACACAGATGCACACTAGGACTGCTGGCACACACAGGGACACACTAGGACTGCTGGCACACACAGGGACACACTAGGACTGCTGGCACACACAGAGACACACTAGGACTGCTGGCACACACAGAGACACACTAGGACTGCTGGCACGCAGACTTATACTGGGACTCATGCTGACATGCGACATCCCCCTACCGACATCCTTATTGAACTTACAATGGCGACTCCCTCGAAATTCATTTGCAGGTTCTTTTGAAAAGGTCGCCTTCAGTACAACTGTCGCTACACTATTTTTACAGTGATATGTTATAACTGCTTTAGTTACGGGTGGGTCTCGACCGTTGCACAGGGTCAATGTGCCCAGGTTTGATCTAGCCCTCAGGGGGCGGGGGGGGGTTATTGATGACTCTGATTGCCTTCTTATCCTGGTATCACTTGTTGGGTGAGTGTGTCTTGCGCTGCCCTGTAGCTGGGCTATGGATTTCTTAGTTTAATGGCTATGACACATGAACCACTGGAGGGGAATTTATCGAAAATGGAGCAGGCAAAATCTGGAGCAGCTATGCATGTCAACCAGTCAGCTTCTCTGTTTCATTTTCAAATCTGAACTGAACAAACTGAAGAGAGAAGCTGATTGGTTGCCATGGTCAACTGCTCCAGATTCTATCCACTCCAGTTTCGATAAACTCCCCACCTGGTGTTTGCAACACACAATGTCCAGGGTCTTAATTCTCCAGTAAACAGGAAGGAGGCCTTTCATTACTATTATTATTGTCAGCATGTGGATATTTTACTTCCACAGGCAACGCATTTCCGTGCTTCCTAACGCCCTACCTTCCTTCATAAACACTATCCCCAATTTTGTATGGCCAATTCCAAGGATAAAACTAAAGGTGTGGTCAATTGTTTTGCCAAAACTATCTTGTTTCACCCTCTGCTGGGAGTTAAAGACCCAGGAGGCTGTTATTTATTATTGAAAGGTTATATAGAGGACCACCTGCTTACATTTATCTCTTACTACGCCCCGAATAGTGCCCAACTTACCTTTTTTTCACTCTATGCTGTGGGAACTTCTCCCTCACTTTGAGAGTAAGATCATCTGTGCGTGTGATTCCAATATAGCTTTAGATCTATGTGTTGATCGCTCTTACCCTGGGAAATAAAGTACCAGGCATCCACCTAAAGCAGGTACCAGCCTGGCTAAATTTCTACATTCTTTTTCTCTGATAGATATTTGGAGGGAACTCAACCCCAACACAAGGGACTATACTCACTACTCTCAAGTGCATTTGAGTTATGCCAGGATTGACCATCTTTTTGTATCACCTTCGGTTGTACCTTTAGTCACTTCTATGTGCACAGAGATAAAATTGGAACCCTGCTCACCTCCAAATTATTTTCAAAACCTAGAGACATTGCTATGCCTAGGATGCGGTGTAGCTGGGGATTAGATTTCTTAAATCCCAAAAAATTGCTACACAAATTCCGCAATTTTTTCTCCAATCTTTATCAGGATGTCTCACCTTTTTAACCAACTAAATTGGAGGCCTTTCTCAATTATATCTCTTTTCCCTCCTTATCCCAAGCTCATAAGTAACTTATGGAAAAACCAATCAACTTAGCGGAAATTAGCGATAAAACAGTCCAAATCCTCTTCGGCTCCCACCAAATATTACAAAAAGTTATCTAAGGTTCTGGCTCCTCACCTGGAGACTTTCCTCAATGCTTTGCATCCGGAAACACCTCTAGACTTGGATCTGAATAGAGCATATGTGTTACCTAAACCCAATAGAGACCCTGGAGAAGTTTCTAATAATAGGCCCATATCGTTAATTAACATTGATCTTAAATTACTAACCAAAATCTTGTCAAATAGGTTAAATACGTTCCTTTTTCTTACATTCACCTGGACAAAGTGGGCTTTAGTGTGGGAAGACAGGAAAAAGACCAGTTCAGGAGGGTGATTGATATTGTTACCCTATTGCAATCCCGTTGGGATGGAGGCTGCCCCCAATCTGGGCTGCTACTTTCAGTCGACTTACAAAAGGCATTTGATTCTGTTTCCTGGCCTTACCTGTTCTCATCACTGGAGCGTTGGGGCTTTGGCCCTTTTTTTATGTGAATGGTGCACACTCTATACTCTAGCCCCACTGCACAGATCCGTATGCAATGTTATTTGTCGGAACCATTTCATATTTACAAAGGCACTCGGCAGGGATGTCCTTTGTCTCAGCTACTGTTTGCCACTGTGAGAGTATTGATATAAAAGAGGTGGGGTGGTTCTTGTGAACATAAGTGTGCATTATTCGCAGATGATCTCTTACTCTGTGACTTCTCGTTGGGCTACAACCCCTAATATTTTGCGATTGCTGGATGGGTTTGCTGAAATTTCAGGACTAGTCAACACCACTAAATCTACAGCCCTCAATGTCAATATCCCTTCGGGTTTGTGGACCTGTCTAACCCAACATTTTCCGTTTTCTTGGTCTACTGAATCCTTACAGTACTTAGGGATCAAACTTACTCCATTTTTTACTCACCTATATAAATCAAATTCCCCTTTGTTCAAACAACTTCCGAATGAAATGAACAGGTGGTTCTCTTGCAATCTGTCCTGGTTTGACTGTACCCATGCGATTAAAATTACCTTGCTACAAGCTGAATACTTCAAAAACTCTACACATTGATTCCTTTACCCTTTCTGCACTCAAGGCTTCCTTTCTCTATAATTGGAAAACAGATTTCCTCAAATATTTAGGAATCAAACTTACTCCTACCTACCCACAACTATAAGCGATAAACTATAAACCCCTTTTTGCATCCTTGCGACTTCTTCTACAGAAGTGGCGACCACTTAAACTTTCCTTTACGGGGAAAATCTTGGCTATTAAGATGACTTTGCTACCTAAATTGTTATATAATTTTATTACTTTACCAATTAAGATCCCTGTATCTGACCTAACTTCCTTGCAACGTGAAGTCCTAGCATTTCTCTGGGGTGATAGATGGCACCGCATATCCACAAATGTTCTTTTTGCCTCCATTTCTGAAGGAGGACTTGGTCTTCCGCAGATTTCTAACTATTACATTGCTGCTTAGCTGAGTGCTTTGCCCTTTCAATGTTCTTTTGCTCCGGGACCTAGATGGGCAGCAATCCAGTCATTGTGGACCGCTCCTATACACCCCGGCGCCTTGCTATGGTCTCAATCTAAACATCTCCCACGCTCTTTGCTTTTGTCCTCTATGGCATGTACTTTGGAGTTGTGGAATAGAGTTAAATTCACCTGTAAGTTGACCTCTACCATATCCTCCCTGACTCCTTTTCTGCTGAATCCCGGACTCCAACTGAGCCTTTCTATGGAATGGATCCATCCCTGGCAAGAGAATATTTTCACCTCAGGGACATCTCCGATAAAGTCAACTATACTTTGCTCCCATATCAAGTACTTAGAGATAGATTTAATCTCCCCTGCAGAGCCCTTTTTTCTTACCTTCAAATAAACATTTTGCCCAATCGATATCTGCTAATTTAACCTTTCCAAAAAGAACTCCCTTTGAGACCCTATGTAGTGGTCGGCTCTCCTCCAGAGGCTTGATCTCAGCCATTTACTAGTTGTTGAACAGCCCTCACCCAGAAGCTTTTGTCAAACATCCTTATATGTTGAAGTGGGAGCGAGTTCTGGAGCAGAAAATTACTCAGGAGCAGTGGGAAGGTATATGGCGTTCTGCCTCTACATCCTCAATTTGCTCAGTCTACAAGGAGTACCAATATAAATTTTTTTACCATTGGTACCACACTCCAGAATTTTTGCATTCTGTTTATCCTTCCATCTCCTCCATGTGCTGGAGATGTGGCAAGCTTCTGGGCTCCCTGTTCCACATATACTGGATGTGTGAGGGGATTCGGCCCTTCTGGAGGATGGTCAGGTCCACACTAGAGTACTTAACTCATTTCAACCTACCTTTGATGCCTATTCACTATTTGTTGGGAGTTCCATTCTTCCACCTCCATAGACCTAGACAAAAATTGGTACATCACGTTTTGACGGCGGCCTGCTGTCTTATAGCCCTCCATTGAAAACGAACTACTCCACCGTCTCACTTTGAGTTAGTCACACGGAATAATGATATAATGATGCGCGGAGCATGGAATTAGTACTTCAGTTACATGTAGATCAATCATTATTCACAATATGAATCTGTATATTCTACATCTAACTTTTGTCTTTTAATATATAGTTGAGAAACCAAATCCTCAACTACAGGATTTGGTTTCTGGTGGAGTCGCTGAGATTGACATTGCAGTCTTAATTTTATTTGTGCCACAGCAAAATAAAATCTTCTTTAAATATATCTATTTATCTTTCCCAAATGTTTATTAAAGTTTAAACAAGAACAATATAGACAGAAACAAAACAACACATCACAAAGAGACTCCTCCCAGACCCGGACTGTTGTACAAATAATACAGAAAGGGAAGACTAAATAGCATAAGACAGGGACATCTTCGATAAAGTCAACTATACTTTGCTCCCATATCAAGTACTTAGAGATAGATTTAATCTCCCCCCCAGAGACCTTTTTTCTTACCTTCAAATTAAACATTTTGCCCAATCGATTTCTGCTAATTTAACCTTTTCGAATATACATGTGAAATGTCCAAAAGCAGTCCCAAAGCAGATGGGTGGGTAAAGACAAAATCCAAAGCTGCATTTTGCAGCCCAGGGAAAAAGTGGGCAATGAAACTATAGAACTTGTTAAAGGTATAGACAGAAAACAGCCTTACAAACTTGGGAGACTGAAGCCTGATGAAAGAATGCCAGAAAGCAGTTGACAATCTGTTATAGTGAGTCATCAGGGAAAAGGGGGATCCCTATTCTTTATGGTATAAGCCTGAAACATGGTCTAGCAAATCCATAGGGAGTTAGTCACATTAGACGCTCAGACATCCTTACTAGAACCACCTAGAATGACAAATAGAAAATCCAACTT